CAATACTACTATACGGATGGATCAGAGACTTGCACTGCACGTCATAAACAGCATCTCAAACAAACTACAGACCTTCATTAACAGCTAGCTGTCTTCGCTCAATACCACTCAAGATCAGATGGCCGGCCGGCCGGCCAGAAAAGATCAGCAACAGAGACAGATCTCTGGCAATGAGCGAACCAACCAACACAGCAGGAACCAACCGATTGTGAAAGAAATAGGCAGGAAGAAATGGAAATGGATGGATTGGCTTGCCATACTCTGAGGAAACAAGCCATCAAGTGAGTGACATCACTAGACAAGCCATTGGTCGAGTGGAACCCGGCCGACATAATGGGAAGCGGCGGCGAGTTGGTCGTTAGTGCTAGGGTGAGTGTGACTTGGGGTGGGGTCATGTGAAGACGAGATGAAGGTGTGTGGGCAGACTTGGAGCGAGGTGAAGACTGTAGCAGAGAACCGAATGCAATGGAGACGCGTGGCTGAATCCCTATGTTCCTCTAGGAATTAAAGGAAACAATATATGTATAATATATATATATGTAGTATTTTTATAGGATAACTGATTTACAAAAGCAGTTTATTATACTGATATTGAGTTTTCACTCAGTAGTGGCGTACGTTCCAGTAACATCCTTGACATCGCCATCAGTACAACTTTACATGGAAATGTACTAAGTGATAATAAGGTCTAAGATACTGTCATATGCATTGCACAGAACGGCTGGGCTTAGGTTCACATGCAGCCATGCCTCGTTGAGCTCATTATGAGATTCGACTGATTCAGCTGGTATCTAGGATGATAGTGAAATGTTTACCAATCAAATTTGCAGGAGCACAGAACAACTCTAACCGATTACTCACTAACTGACAATAACATTCCTAGTCATAGATTTATATTTTGTCAATTGACAGTAATCATAATGTAAATACAATCGATGGTTCATACATTTATTCCCCTTATTATTATTATTGTTTTCTTTAATTCCTAGAGGAAAATAGGGCTTCAGCCGTGCGTCTCCATTGCGTTCCGTTCTCTGCTACAGTCTTCACCTCGCTCCAAGTCTGCCCACACACCTTCATCTCGTCTTCACATGACCCCACCCCAAGTCACACTCACCCTAGCACTAACGACCAACTCGCCGCCGCTTCCCATTATGTCGGCCGGGTTCCACTCGACCAATGGCTTGTCTAGTGATGTCACTCACTTGATGGCTTGTTTCCTCAGAGTATGGCAAGCCAATCCATCCATCTCCATTTCTTCCTGCCTATTTCTTTCACAATCGGTTGGTTCCTGCTGTATTGGTTGGTTCGCTCATTGCCAGAGATCCGTCTCTGTTGCTGATGTTTTCTGGCCGGCCGGCCATCTGATCTTGAGTAGTATTGAGCGAAGACAGCTGGCTGTTAATGAAGGTCTGTAGTTTGTTTGAGATGCTGTTTATGACGTGCAGTGCAAATCTCTGATCCATCCGTATAGTAGTATTGACTGACTTCACATTGAAAATCCGAATCTTATTTTTGATGCTGAGTGCTGACTGTTGACCTCCACACAGACTTGAGAGTAGTGAAAGCTTGTCTTGCTTTTCCGATCGATTCTGGCTTTGATATCCGCGTCAGTTCTGTTCGCCTGTGATTGAAACGATGCTTCCCAGGTAGGTAGGTAGGTGAAAGAGGTTGTTTCTTTCAGGTTCCTTCGATTTATGCTGGCTGATTGTTGTCTGTTGTTGTTGTTGCTGTTGGTGGTGTTGCCCAGGAATTTAGTCTGAGGAACTGGTTATTATGATTAACCTCACAACACAAGATATAGATAGGTTTTTCGAACACATCAACTCGAAGGTTGAAGCGAGTCAATTCACTTATGAATTGGAAAATCAGTCAGGAAGGGGAGCTACCAATGTTAGATTGCAACGTAAAAAGGAAAGAAGATGGGAAGTTAAACAATAGTGTGTGTTTACAGGAAACCCACACACTCAAACAGATATTTGGACTTCCGATCATCCCACCCATCCCATGTCAGTGAAAATAGGATTGGTGAAATGTTTAAATGACAGAGCACAAAAACTTAGTAGTACCAAAGAAAATCTAAAACAGGAACTGATACACATATAAGAGAAGCCTTGAAACTTAATAATTACCCGGATAAATTAGTCAGGAAATATGTAAGGAAATGTAAAAACAAAATAAATAATGATCGTAGCGATAGTGATAATAACAACAATAATGATAATAATAATATTATTATTAATGACAACACCAACAATAAGGAATCTAAATCATCAGTAGTAATTCCATACAAGGACGGAACCTCGGAAGCCTTACGCAGAATTCTTATCAAGGCAGGAATAATAGTGACTGGCATTCAAACCCCACACAAACTCAATTAGAAACAAGCTTTATCGGTGAAAGTATCAATCCTGTAGAGCCTTTAAAACAAAACAAATTACTTTATCTAATACCCTGCTTGAATGATTGTCAGTGAGGTCAAATGCATAGGTCAAACTAGTAGAACAGGGGCAGTCAGACTAGCTGAACATAAAAACTTAACAAAATCTAGATTGGTTGATCCAAATAAGATAAGAAATCTAGAGAATAGTTCAGCTATAGCACTCACTGCATGCAGTTACACACAAGCATACAATAGGATGGGACAGGATGAGAGTTTTAAAATCTAATGTCACAGGGTATAGGGAGAGATTGATAACAGAAGCTTTGTTTATCGAATCAACTGAGAGCGAATACATGTAATAGGAATGATTCATCACCTGTCCCCGATATCTAGAAAATTCTACGACTCCAACGACGACAAATAGGAGAGAACAAAGAAAACTATAAAACTCAAGTGTCAAAGTCGTGTGATTACAATTGATGAGATGATTATGAACAATAAGTTTTGTTCGAAACCGTGTCATCCAGTAAATAATACTGTTTCAACCTGTGTGTGATATATCTAATAAACAAACTAATATGGAATTACTTTCTACCTCAGTGCCTAAGTTTTACACATATATATTCACTTTTATCAGTCAAAAGACGACTTTCTTTTTAAAATTAAAATAAACAGTATCACTTCGAATGAATACAAGAAAAAGATACACTGTTAAATTTAAACTCTCAGGGTGTTAAAACTCAGAACTCTGTCTGTCTGTCTATCTGGCTTTCCCTCTTCCTAACTTCATCATCTTCATAAGGGGGAGAATATCAAAATTTAGGATTCAGTGAAACATTTATAACAAGCCACACTTTACGTTGTCTTTCTCTTTCCCTGAATCACATGCATAGTTCCACGTTTTGTTTTCATAGAAGCAAGATACATATGATATCAACCTTCTTTAGGTAGTAATGAGAAAGGACACTTTGTTTTTCTAAACCTCAACAGAACTTCATGATCTTTAATCATAAATGCCAACCCCATTTCTATTCAACTTCATCATAGACGTACTAATGGACTTAACCCTAACTCACTTCAGAGACTCAGGGATTGACTTACTACCAGGGAATAATCTCGTTGACTTAGAATATGCAGACGATATAGTCCTTCTAGGCGAGGACGCTGACAAAATCCAGCAGAGTCTTCTGAACACCTTGAGCAGCAATCTTCGTATGTTTGGCATGCGATTCGCCCCTGTAAAATGTAAGATGATGTTGCAGGATTGGACTACACCGACCCCTAGATTAGAAATAGGAAGTGAAGTGGTAGAGCACGTTGACCGCTTCACTTACTTGGGAAGTACCATCAGCCAGTGCCAACGGGTTGATCTCTGACGAAATCTCAACACGAATACAGAGAGCTAGTTTCGCATATGCCAGTTTACGCCGTCTCTGTTGTAGACGTGACATCCGACTATCGACCAAAGGGCGTGTGTACTGCTCATCAGTCCTCTCCGTCCTCCTTTGTAACTGGTTGGCGACCTGGCCATTGAGAGCGGAAGACATGAAAAGATTAGCTGTCTTTGATCATAGGTGCCTGCGTTCTATCTCCCGTGTGAAGTGGTATAATAAGGTGAGCAATATTGAGGTTAGGTGTCGAGTGCTAGGTAAGCATGGGAAATCAATCGAAGAGGCTATAAAGTTACATAGATTGAGATGGCTAGGTCACGTGCTGCGCATGCCTAACCATCGCCTCCTCCTCCCGACGGGCATTACTAGCTGATATAGGTGCAGGTTGGAAAAGAGTAAGTGGTGGCCAAACGAAAGCATGGCATCAATCCATGAAATCCTTGACAGTTAAACTGAGTCAGACTTCCGGGTTGGAGCCCGCCCTCGGGACTCTAAGAATCAATCAATGGCTGTAGACAATAGGCGACATGGCTGGAAATCGTTGTCAATGGCTTACGCAGATGTATTCAGTCTCTGTAATCTTTCAAATTCCATTCTGCAATTACTCATTCTGTTTCATTCTTATACTTGTCAAAACTCTATTGATTCTCTTCATTCATTTTCTTGTCTACCTTTGTGTGCTCTTTGGAACGTGGCAACTGGAACTGCTGCACTTCGGTGCGAAGTTCTATGTTGAATCCAGAGAGAGAGAGATTTAGTTGAATGTTTCATCAGATAAAAAAGGCCAAACACCCAAATAAACATTCTATCACACACCAAGTTTCATCATCAACTGACGGACATCAGTTAGGAAACCAATGAAAACCAGGCAGGGGTACTGCACAGTTGTTTCGTCTTAGTTTGAGACTCTTCACCAATACACAACCATGACCACCCCACCCATTGAAGATGGAACTTAAGACCTTCAGATCACAAGGTGAGCCCGTTGACAATTTATTCACTGGGATGGAATCCAATGGCGGCCCCTCTGTTCTGACCTATGCCAATTCCCGATTTATAGCGCTACTGCCAGCCGTTGTCACTATCCGTTATACATTTTATTTTTTGGCTGTCTTCATACGCTTCTAATATGTTAAAGTAGTATACTGGTAAAATGCAGAATTTTTTCAAACATCTTTATACATTTAAGAGCTTGAAAGTCAACCATTTCCTTTCCTTTATTTCAGTTGTTTTAGGTTCAATCCTTGGAGTTTTGGTATTGGTTTTAGCTGTCCTCTTGGTTGTTTACAGTTTACGGCATAAGTGAGTTTAAAGTGCCATTTCATTTTTTTTCTTTCGTTTTAATTCCTTTGCATCCATAGTGGTGATGTTGTTCTGATTTCTAGGCATTGGGTTTTGTTAACTTTACACCCAACCTTTTCTCCGTCTTTTACTGACTTCGCCGATGATATATGTCTGATCTCCCACAAACCGGAAGATATCCAAGCGAAAAGCAACAAGTTGGCACAAAAAGCCTCCAGAGAAGATAGCACTTCAGGTGAACATAGAGAAAACAGAAGTGATGAAGATTCCTGGGCAACACCACCAACAACAACAATAGACAACAATCAGTCAGCATAAATGGGAGGAACCTGAAATAAACAACCTCTTTCACCTACCTACCCATCTGGGAAGCATCGTTTCAACTACAGGCACACGGAACTGAAAAGAGGATATCAAAGCAGCGAGAATCGAAAAGCAAGACAAGCTTTCACTACTCTCAAGTCTGTGTGCAGGAGGTCAACAGAACTCAGCATCAAAACGAAGATAAGATCCGGATTTTCAACTCCAATGTGAAGTCAGTCAGTGCTACTATACAGATCAGAGACTTGGCCAGCGCGTCATAAAGAGCATCTCAAACAAATTACAGACCTTCATTAACAGCCAGTTGTCTTCGCTCAATACCACTCAAGATCAGATGGCTGGCCAGAAAAGATAAGCAACAGAGGCGGATCTCTGGCAATGAGCGAACCAACCAACACAGCAGGAACCAACCGATTGTGAAACAAATAGGCAGGAAGAAATGGGGATGGATGGATTGGCTGGCCATACTCTGAGGAAACAAGCCATCAAGTGAGTGACATCACTAGACAAGCCATTGGTCGAGTGGAACCGGGCCGAAAGGGAAGCGGCGGCGAGTTTGTCGTCAGTGTAAGGGTGAGGGTGACTTGGAGGAGGTGATGTGAAGAGGAGGTGAAAACGTGTGGGTAGACTTGGAGCGAGGTGAAGACTGTAGCAGAGAACCGAACGCAATGGAGATGCATGGCTGAATCCCTATGTACCTCTAGGAATTACAGGAAACAATAATGATATAATAATATGACGTTATGGATTATGGAACATGTAACTCTAGAAAACGGAAAATCTAAATATCCCCATTACTTAATATGAAAGTAGATAGGATATGAATTTAGCCTGCATCAGTGCGATTGCGTGTGGTGCGTAAGTTTTTGTTTGTCATGCGGACTTCAGCCAGACAAGCTACACTTCTTCACATGACCCATGCAGACAGTCAATAATTTTAGTGGATTAAAACGCCTGAACGACAAGGCTTGACAACGGCACATGTCAAGTGATCTACAACGGAAAAACCAGCGAGGCGTTTGGAGTAAACACAAGAGTCAGACAAGGATGTTTATCATCACCAATGATATTCCTAATTGTGGTGGAATGGACTGGATTATGCGTCAGTCAGTCGGAAACGAGAAGACAGGGATATCCAGGACCACCGACGTGAAGAACCTACAAGACCTGGATTTCGCGCGTGGATGATTTATGTTTGATGTGACACAAAATCGAAGACTTACAAGCGAAAACCGACCGACAAACTGGTCGAAGAAGCAGCCAGAGAAGACACGACTTCAGGTGAACATAGACGAGACGGAGGTGATGAAAATAACTAACCAACAAACAACAACAACAGCAGCAACATCCCGCGCCAATCACCAATAACGCGATGGATTTGAAAGAGGTTACTTCATTCACTTATCTAGGGAAGGAGCATTGTCTCAACTACAGGCACACGGAACGGACGACGATGTCAAATCGAGAATCGTGAAGGTGAGAAACACATTCGTCAACCTGACACCAACCAATCTGGAAATCTTCCGCTGTCACTCAACTCAGCCTGCATCAACAACAAAATGATTCGGATTTTCAATGCAAATGTCAAGTCAGTCAGTCAGTTCTTCTATACGGATGGATCAGAAACTTGTTGGCGGCGGGTCACAAAGAATATTTCCAACAGTCTGTTGTACACCTTTATCAACAAGTTACTGTCTTCGATGGCTCTATACTGAAGATCAGATGGCCGCCGGAAAGAACAAGAACCAACAAGGAACTATGGGAAGAAACAAAACAAGAATCAATCGCCCAACAAATATGCAGGAGAAAGTGGAGATGGATGGAGATGGACACTGGCTGAGGAGGCGGCTGGCTGGGTGACATCGCTTGTCAGGCCAGTGGTCGAGTGGAACCCGAAAGGGAAGCGACGAGTGGGACGTCAGTGCAAGGGTGACATGGAGGAGATCGTGTGAAGAGGAGTTGAAACAGTATGGACTAACATGGATGCAAGTGAAAAGTACAGCAGAAGACAGAAGCAAGTGGAGAGTTGTAGTTGAAGCCCTATGTTCCACTAGGAACCCAAGGGAACAATAATAATTATAAAACGCTTGAACAATGTGTTTTAGTATAATCTCATAATGGAATTATAATTCTTAATATAGCACATAATTTTTTGCTGGATGACGGTACGAATACTCTTTGATTGATCACACTCAGACCAAGATATTCTGTAGATATTTCCGTAACTGGTCTAACCCCAGTCTTATACCACGTTTGAGATATCTACCCAATAAACATTTCGAAGAAAATGAAGACAGACTGGACATACACTAAGAAGATCATCGAGTTACATCACTCAGCAAGCAGGCCCTTGAGTAGAACTCGAATGACAAACACCGAGTTGGACATGAATCCTAGTGTGACATGGAAGAAATCACGCGAGGAGGAAATAAAAGCTTGTGGGCTATTGTGGAGCCAATAAAAGGTGATGACAGAGGATAGAGTGGAGTGGAATGGAGATGGGCTGATGAAGCATTCATTATGTTCCACTCGAAACCAAAAGGACTAATAATTATGAGAATGAATATGTAACAAGACTCATATTGTTTATGCAACATATAATTTTAGCCCTAATTAATAATTACGCAATGATGTGGAGCGACACAGATTGCTACAGTTACGTAATTTTTATATCGTTTAATTCCTCTTTAAAACTGATTAATCACAAAATCTTCAAGTTATATCGCAAAATGACATCAAGTGGAAATAGTAAAAAAAATAACAGGAGGCACTGACCAACCTTGACCTTGAACAACAGCCTCAATAAAGGGACAGGATTGGGTAATATGCTGTGAGACCTGGCCATTGAGAGTGGAAGACGTGAAAAGATTAGCTGTCTTCTACCATAGATGTCTGCGTTCTATCTCCCGTGTGAAGTGGTATGATAAGGTGAGCAATATTGAGGTTAGGCCATCGGTCGAGTGCTAGTTGGTGAGGAGGAATTGGAAATCAATCGACGAGACTGTGAAATTACATCGACTGAGATGGTTAGGACATGTGTTAAGTATGCATGCCTAGTCATCGCCTCCCTCGACAATGGGCAATGTTAGCTGACATAGGATGGGTCAGACTGGAAAAGAGCTAGCTAGTGGCGGTCAAACCAAAACATGGCCTCATCAGTCAATAAAATCTACAACAGTTAGTCTAAGCCAGCCACGTAGGAAGGTGTAGACTGGCTTCCTGACTGGTTGGGGTCCTCGGGACGATAAAAACCAATGAAGGCTGGAAACAATTGGTGACATGGCTAGCTCAAAGTGATCGTTCTCAATGGCTGGCCGGTGCAGATGCATCCACTCCTTGTGACTGACTTATGATTTCCAATGAAACTGTTTTGTTCTTCGTTATTACTCTATTCCTTTGTCTCAAACCTCTGTTTACTGTGCCTAATATGCATTTCTGCTACTTTCTTCTGTTGCTTTGTGTGCTACATGGAAGGAGTGTGGCGACTTGAAATTCCGCACAGATGTGCAAAGTTCTATGTCGAAAACTGACCGACCGAATATGCTTTAAGCGTAGTCATCTTAGTAGAAGAAAGTCTGTTTATGACGATATGTGAAGTATCCAAAAAAAAGAAACAGCCGCCTAATCAAATATACGTATAGCAGTTGGTTTGATAGGTCATAGTTAGTACTGGCTGCTATGGTATGCCCTAGCATTGTCCGTCAGTTGGACAGCCATTGACACCCAAGCAGGAAGGAAGTCTAACACATAAGTCTTGAATTACGAGACTGTCAACCTGTTGAAAATTCAGACCCAGTCAGAGGGAATCCGTTCTGTCAGTTAATTCTCAGTACTGCCAACACAATGTTTTCACTGATAAATTATCCAATAAGTGAATAGGAATTTCGGTTGAATAATATTTGTAAGTAGTAGCTTCATTCCTAAATGGTACATTTAATAAAATGTTGGATTTTGAACTTGTTAGTAGAATATTGCCGCTTGCTTTTGATTTACAAGAATTAACAAACTGTCAAAGTAGAGAGTGAGATTCTCTTAACTTCTTTCTTATAAGTTATTATAATGTTGGAAAACAAGGAAAGGACAAACGAAAAAAATCATAAATCACACTACTTAACATTCGATTGAGAAGGCAGTGAAGTTGGAACTCTGTCTATTATTCTCTATTGTTCCTCCTTCGTTTTTCCCGGGTTACTGAAGAAAGACTATAACATATTACGCAGGATTTTAAAGATTGTCAGTAGGGTAAGCAACGTGCCACTTAACCAGCTTGTTAATATTCTGGTTGACAGGCACATGGACTCTAACTCACATCAACCCGCTTCACTCACAACTCTCCCCTTGCATCTCATCAGGCGAAACCAGAAGCCTATATAGAAAACTATATGCTTGCACCAGCAAGCAAGTACAACAACTCAACCATACTCTACTTAGCTCGTGTTCTGTGCGACAAAGAAAGAATTGGGCGTGACACCTATAATTCACTAAATATTCAGTAGGAAAACTGGACCTCGTCTTTCCAACTCATATCATTTATAGGTACAAAATTTTCTTTCTTTCTTTTCCTTTTGTCTCTCTCTTTTTTTCTGTTATGTACTGCTTTGTTTCTTTCTTCCGCTTACGCCAGTAAATTTGCTAGCACCTATTTTTCTAACACCTTCAAACACTGTTCAACTTTGGCTTTGCTACAAACACGCCAATATGTTGTTGTCATTATGAACTGAGATTTCCTTAATCTATGTAGAATTCTATTTATTGATAATGTACAAACTGGATGCAATACTGTAGTAAACAAAATGCTGAGAATTCCATTTTGTATCACAAGTACTGTTTTGGAATAAAGCAAATTATTATTATTATTATAAAGGATTCCTTGGAACAAATCAGCCCGTGTTTAATGTCTGAAAGTGAAGAAGTTTACACACTCTGACGTTTATCTGTTCATTAACTGTGTTTTCTGTTTTTTTTTCCATCCCTCAACACTTTAGACTATTTGATCAATATCATAAAACAGTCAATTTAGCGGCTATCTCATCGTCTAGTCGTCTTGGTTCTTCATCGTTGACAACATTTAGTCGATCAAAAGATACTCTGCTGTTTCCAACATTTAAAAAATCCTCCTATAATACTCTTGTCACCAATGGAAACCATCGTAATCTGTTTAAATCATATCCACATTTAATAAGTCATCAGACAATAATGAATGAGAGTGTACCTGACCTACCAACACGACCACAACAACTACAACTACAACAGCAACAATCATCAGTACCTCTTGCAGCATCAGCTGCAACAACAAGAACAACAGCATTGCATAGTTCAATGATAACTGGAATGAATAAAAAGACATCAAATATTGATTTAATGCGAGGTAATGGTGGTTATCTTCCACCATGGCGTAGTTCCCTTAAAAATAATCATAATAATATCATTAATAGTCCTGTGACGCCTAATGCTATATCCGCTTTAACTCTAGTGCCGAATACACCAGGTTCAGAGCATCGACAAATGATGACCTCTTTACCATGGCTGCGTACTAATTCATCAACACACATTACCACTACTAATCATCATAATAATAAAAGTATGACAAATCAAAATGGTAGTAGTAATAATAATAATAATAATTCAGCATTTGGAGCTTCTAGTGAAACAATGCTATTCTCATCATTAAACATTCCAAATGGCTTACCACGTTCATGGTGGTTACCATGGCGTAAAAGTATGCGAAAAAAACGACGTCTGTATACACAATTACAAAGACGTCAAGAAATCCAATCCTCCCTGTCACAACGTGGTCTGTTAGAGTCTAGTAATATGCTAGACAATAAATCGACGCCACATTTACGCAATAGCGGCTATTTGATGACATCATCGAATGGATTCTTGATTAGCGAACCATCACGTTCAGGAGGACCAATGCCACCGTTACCGCCTATACCACAGTCGGCAACATCATCAAAAAGAGAAGAGGTGTCGCATTCGTTTGCTGCTAAACATCCACCTTTACCACAGCAACAACAACAACAACTACGCATAAAGCCGGATGGAGGAACAGGCAGTGAAAGGGTTAAGACAACATTGCTAACAAATGATGGAAATAATTTCGGTGGTGTCTGTAGCACTTTATACACAAATCAAGATCCGATGAATTCACCAACCTCATTAATGTTGTATACAAATTACCAATCGAAAATGACACCAGATGAACAGAGCATGCTTAACACATCAACAATATATCCGAATAAAGCGAATTCCAACAATATCCAATCATTCCCCTCGTCATCGTCAACAGCCTCATCGTGGATGAATATGGTTAATAATAATGGCGCTGATAATGACTTGCCGTGGAAATTCACTCCACCGAATAGAAATAGTTTTAGTAATGGTATCCGTCGTCTGTCATCGTTCTTTCGTAGTTTCCATCAAAGCAATGGGTCATTCACTCCGCCTAGGAATTTTTCCGCCTCTTTTAAAAAGTCTTCTTACAGATCGTCATCGTTCAATTCACGATCGGAAATGCCGTCTATGCCAACACTGCCAACGTTTAATCACAGGACTACATCGAATATGAGTAATAATAATCATAATAATAATAATGATATTAATAATAGTAGTAATAATTACATTAATCATGCTGAACAGCCCATGGCGAATCATGATTCATTTCGTTTACTTAGTGGGCGGCATATTACACACCCATTGATGCAATCATCAACGCAAGCTTTATCAGGTAAGGAATACGTCGCATAATTTTACTGTATTTTTTAAACTACTTACAAGTAGTTAAATGATCAAAGCATCTTTTTTTCAGTAAAACTATGCATAATCTAAAACGGTGGTTGTTTACGATAGTGACCCTATTATTAATTATTACTTCAGCCAGATTTCTTATAGAGGTTGTATTACTTCCATTGTAACAACAGAAGACAAGGGTCAGGCAACAGATCGTTTATTAAGGAAAGTCAACACATATTTATAGATTTTAATGTACATTATTTTAGATTATTGTTAGTAGAAAATACAGTCTTTTGATTGGTTGTTTCACACAGAAAGTTTACCTTGCATATCTTTGTGGCTGTGTCAGATCATCCATATGCTAACTGCATCCGTCTACGCAAGGCCTTTGTTCTCATTTTCTCACCACCCATACTGGAGACATTAACATTGACGTCAATTACTGTCTATCAACTTTGGCTAGCAGCCATCTCTCAACACACTATAACAAACATCAGCTAAGAGGTTATATTCTCAGCAATGCTCTAATGTTTTAGTTGTATAGTTTTTAGAATTTACAAGAACTACAGGAGATCAATCACTGAGCACGAATAGCCCAGCACTGCGTGATGCCAGTTCAAATCCTACAGGGGACATGAATTCCTTCAGTGTTTCAAACATTTCTTGCTGACGAGTGCTAACAAGCACGAAACCTAGGTCAGATAGGGCTTCTTGTCTAGTGTCTCAAACCGTCTAATACGAATTTAGAGTGCACTGTGACGGCAGGCTATCTAACTCCTTAATAATAATAATAATGATTTACTTTACTCCAAAAACAGTACTTGTGATACAGAATGGAATTTTCAGCATTAATCACAATATTGCATCCAATTTCCTCAAATTATAAATAAAGTTAATCACACAGAAAATTTTCCACATTTACAATAGGGGTAATGTAAAAAAAAATGCAGCATATAAAATGGAAATAATAATAATGATAGCAGCTAAGGTAATGATAATAATAAAACAAGTGGAAATTGCCGTGGGCTTGTTTCACACAGTATTGTCGATGCGGTATACAAATCCTTGCATGATTAAAAATATTAAATATAATGTTCTCTTTACATGATATGGTGAGGGAAAAAAGAAAGATTACAGAAGTCATAGAGATAAGTTGGTGTTTGCAGTTATGAAAGTAAAAACAAAGAAGCAACAAGACCATAAATATAATAGAAAGAATAAAAGTAAAACTTGAAGGTATATAAAGATGGATGGAGGAGATTGTTTATTTACTAGATGAAAAAAGGTTAGTCAGTTCTTGCCTGACGCTATTTTCATCACATAAAGTACGTGCCAAGTATGGTATCATAGAATTTTTATACTTAGACGTGCGAGCATACAGTTTTCTGAAGTTACTTCTTGTTCTACCTGAGGATATGCAAGGTGACAGCTGAGGGTGAAGTGGATGCTCCAAGTCAGACAAAATCCCTTAAGCAAATTTACTGCACGAAGTCAAACGCCTTTCGACAACGACGTTAACTATGGAGTCCACTGGGACACCACTCATCCTACTGACAGTCTTCAGCATTCTACGAATTATGACAAAGTCCTTTTTAAGCAAACCAGGAAAGGATAAGCAGGGGTGAACAATAAAGAAGAATAGGTAGGATGCAAGAGTTTATGAACTGTAAGAGGAGGGGTTGATTGACAGAATAATCTGCAACAACACCAAGAACACCGACTACTCCCTGGTGGCTGATCAAATTTAAAATTTATAAGTGTTGTTTTACAGGAGTTCAACTGATCCCAAGTTAGATCACGAATTGACATCAGTTGAAGAACCATTAAAATGCCTCCGCAGAGAGTACCACATGTCCGCTTCATCTCAACTTGGAAATCTTCAGCAGAAGTATATATGATCTTAACGGGAGTCGAATGCAGAGTCATCAATACATGAAGTGAATTAACAGAAGTTGGACTTAGTGGACCAAAATAATTTTTTCCATTACCTTAATGATCTACAAGCTGACATCTTAGTGCTAAACTTCCTGGATTCCCTGAGGTAATATTTGCGGGCTTGTGAAGAGTCCCTGACTAGGATAAAGCAGCTGTGTAGTTATTCTTAGTTTCCAATGGCCCTCCAACTGATGTCAGTTGATTGTCTAAGTTGAACTCAGAATGAACAATGTTTTGCAATTAATAGTGTTCTCTGGGCTGGTTGGTTTAGTTGCAGAGCTTTCGTCCTCCTCCTGCTGCACAACATCCCCTTTCAGCGCAATATTTAGCATAAAGTGAAATCATTAAAATTTCTTCATGAGTGATAGAATTGCGTACGTCTCCCGGTAACCATCTTTACAACATATGTATTGACCATTTTCTATTCACTTGGATTTTAAACTTTCTCGTCACCTGATTTACTTTTTATTAATTGGTATATTTCGTCTATATGTTAACGTGTTTGTTAATTGCATTTTCGTTTGAGTACCAGGCTTCTAGGAATTCCCTGACTACACTTTTGGTGTTTCCCCTGTCTAAGATTTTGACATTATCCCAATCAAATTGATGACCATAATTGTCTATATGCATTGATACTTAAGAATACATATCGTGTCTTTTCACGGTTGATTTGTGTTCTTGGATTCTAATTCGAAGGGGACGCCCACTTTGGCCGATGTAATGTTTGCTGCAGTTCATACAATTTATTTTGTAAATGGTATTAATTTTATCTCCTTTTTCTGTTGGATCTTTTGGTTTGCAAAATATCGAATTAGACAATTTGACTGGCTTGTGTGCTATATCTATATCAAATGGTTTCAGTATTCTAGCTGTTATTTCAGAGATATTTCTCATGTATGGTAGGGTGAATTTTCTTGTGGTCTTTGATGATGGTTTCTTGTTGGTGTTTTGATTCGACTTTAAACACTTTTTGATGAAATTTTGTAGATAACCATTCTTTTTGAAGGCCGTTTGTAGGTATTTTTCCCCCATTCTTTTCAACTCTGGAGTGCTACAATGTGTTTGAACTCTCTTGTGAACAATGTCTGCACACAGTTTCGTTTGTGAGTAATTGGATTATTGCTAGTATAGTTGAGTATTTGATCTGTGTGCGTTGATTTTCTATATACTTGTGTTTCTAAATCTCCTGTGTTGGTTCTCCTGATTAAGACATCTAAAAATGGGATTTTGTTATCTAATTCTTCTTCTCTTGTAGTGAATTTGATGTCTTCAAATATGTTGTTTATTAATTTATGAGTATATTCTAAACCATTTCTCTTAATTATTACGAATGTATCATCAACGTAACGTATCCAGGTTTTCGGTTTAATTATAGGTATATATATATATATATATAGTGTTGATACCACTGTATACTGTCGATATGTGGTGAAAGCTGGCCTGGCCGCAAGCCAAATTGTAGACAACAATTTACGTCAATGTTCACCTCCCGATTCAAGGTCATGAGAAAAACAATAATAAAGCTTAACCTTGAGAAAATCACCAGCCAGTCACAGCGGAGTTAACATGTGGAAATATGATTCGCAGATATAAATATGGCTTGATTTTATGAGAAACGGTCACAAAAAGGAGATAACAGAATTACCTTCAGCAAGAAAACAGCCAATCAGAAGAGGTTGCTTTTCCACTAACAATAATGTACACAAAAATCAATAAATATCTCTTTTCTCAGTAAACAATCTGTTGCCTGGCCCTTGTCTTCTGTCGTTACAGGTACCCAGAAATTCTCTGTCTCCGCAGAAACTGCTGATACTGAACTGTCCTACTTTAAAATAGGACTCCCACAGGTCTCGTCGTACGGACTTTCCAAGACGACAACTGGTGCATCCAAGTGGATATTCATTAACTAACCCTCTAATGTCGTTATTTTTTTTGTCAACTCTTGTATCTTAACTATTCTACTTTACTGCTTCCCGTTAGTCTTTCCTGGGCTACTGAAAAAGGACTATACCATCCTGAGAAGGATGTTGAAGGTAGTCAGTAGGGACTGGTGGTGTAAAACTTAGTCAGCTCGTCACCACATTAGTTGATAGGCATCCGAATACATGCGAAAATTGGTTTAAAACCATACTCTCCAACCCCCAACACCCCCTCTATTCCCAAATCTCGCCTTGTATCTCATCAAGTAGAACCAGGAATCAGTATAAAATAATTTATGCTCGTACAACCAAGTAAAGGAACTCAACGATACCATATTTGGCCCGTGTTCTAAGTGACAGAGACACTGTTAAGCGTGAAACCTATGACTTGCTCTCTTGTTAATAATCATAATTTTAGGCTCTTTTATTTCTCTCTTATTTTGTATTCTATAGTGAACTCCTTCTTAAACATACTTAGCTACCTAAATTATTAAAACATTGGCTTACTTTTTTATACTTTACTCTATCCCTTCTTTTGTGTATCTACTGGTTCCGACTATATTAGCACTATGAGTAGTACAAAATTGTCCTGTCATTAACCATTATGCAATTATTAGTTTTTGTGGTTGTTTTTTATTATTTTTTATTTTGTTCGGCAATATTAACTGACAATCTTGGTTGTGAAAGCCATTATCACCATCTTAAAATTTTGTATTATGGAGGATTACTCACACTACCACTACAAACACCGCATTAGACCTGATAAAAAACAACAACCCTGAAATGTTATTTTATGATTGTTTAGTGTTTTTTCAAACTAAATTAGCTGATCATCTTGGCGATAAACATTCTTAAATATCATTTCATAACTTCTTGTATGACTATAGCTTTACTGTCACCATGCATAATCATATCATAGCTTCCATTACCCAATACTGAGATATTATTATGTGCTGTTTATTTTCCTTTATACTTCTTGGTATTTTTTTCGCATTTTCTTTTATTATTTCTGTTTTTTTTTGTCTTTTTGCTGTTGTTGTCTTTATATTTATTTTTTGAAATATTCTTTTTCAATGTTGTATAAAATTAAATGCAAATATTGTAGATATGTGCTGAAAATTCCACACTGTACCACTAGTACTGTTTCTGGAATAAAGCAAATTATTATTATTTATCTACAATGACATGCTTTAGTCGTTCCTATAAAGTAGTTAGTCATCTATACAGTACTGAATTACAACATCTGGATGAAGAAATTGGCAGAACAATAAGTAATTACTTTACTTTACTTCGGCTATCTCCTACGGGAGGATGAGCCGGCTTCATGAACATCTCGAATCATCGCTGCCCAGGCGCAGCGATCTGATGCAAGGTTTTGCGACAGGGTTATCCAATTCTTGTTCCACAGACGGAGTCCGTAGACGGTTCGTAGCTCCAGGCACTCCATATCAGCCTTGACTGTACCCCGTTTGTAAGAGAGTTCATGAAGTTTCATGGGAATTCGGTACGAGCGATGTCCCCAGAATCGCTCGGCCTTTTGTTTGAGAGTGCAGCTCTAGCCTTTACACAACCAAGTGTGACCTGCAAGGCAGTAGGAGTGGAGTAGGGAGTCCACTATCCATTGGCAGTCGGTGACCGGAGTTCGGTTCATAGGCCTTTTTGAATGGGGCCAGACATCTAGGACATCCAACAAGCCCTTTGTCCATACGTCTGCCGGTGAGCTCCAGTGAGCTTCATACGCCAGTCGTCGGAGGTTTGGAATCAGGGTTTAGCCATCTCCCCTAGACTGTCATCCAATGGACAGTCAACCCGGTGAAGAGCGCCGGGCATCCGCTTTCGCCCTCTCACTTTGGTGAAAAACACCTCCGCCACGTGAAGGCAGTGAGTAGGACTTCCTCAGGAGAGGCTATGTAAGACGCCCGGTCATATGGGAGCATTTCAAGAGGTGTGCGGAGGGTTGGCCAACCCGCAGCGCAAGGCACCCACCCCCGACCATCCTGAGGCTTTGGAGGCAGAACAATAAGTGTACAACATCCATGTTGGTACAGCAGCGATTTCACTGGTTATTCAGGGCCATTCCTTAAGTTGCTCGTATAAGTGATGATTGTTTACAGTTTTTTGACAAATCGATTACTTAACCTACAAAGTCTATTTTAACTATGTTTTACGAGTTGATTATGGATTGATATCCAGTTAGAGAACCATTGAAAAGCATGGAGTACTGGACAGCCGTTTCATCCTAGTTTGAGAATCATCAGTACTCCCTGGTTTTCAATGGTTCTCTAATTGATATCAGTCCGTGATCAACTCGTAAAACATAACTAATCCTTACAAACCAAACTATAGAAAATCAGAAAGATTGAGCTAAGAAATATTTAGCTTTCAATTAGATCCTCATCTCTGGCTCTACTCTAATATACACGTATAGCATTTTTATTACAATACACAACAGTTTACCAAACAAGTGGCACTGATATGCTTGTTAACAATAATTAGTCAATGTCAAAATGTCAATGGGTTGATAATTAACGAAGAAAATCAATACACATTTAAAAGGTAGAAATGGATAGAATAAATTAATTTTACAAGGATAACACGTAATTAAAGATGAAGTGGCCAAAATAAATATAAATAAAATAATTTGGACAATTATAGATTTTAAAGGTCTAGGGGGACGGGGGCGACCTAGTCCTGTTCATGCATTCTTCTAGAGATGGCCACGGTAAGGAAAGTGGTTGTACAAATTTCTTCTATACACATAGGCTAGGCTTCTTAAAGTGGATTCCGATTGCTTCAGCTGTCTGTAGAAGACGAACTCGTAGAGCAAAATTAAGATTAGTCGGAATGCGATAAATAATTTTAAATGCAATATTAACATCAACCTTATGCTCAGTATCAACAAGGTGTGCTAAAATAGAACTACGAATAGATCTTGTTTGTCCTCCCTTGCTTAACCATGTTGGATGATGTTCGAGAATACGACGATAAACCTGCCTAATTTTACGCCCAATGTAGCTGGCTCCACAGCTGCAGTCAAACTGGTAACTACACATAGAAGAGGCAAATTTAGGTAGTTTATCGTTATTTCTCGAACATAGAATAGGGGTGGTTTTGAAGAGACAACGTACTTCTGCTGCATAATAAGCTCTTTTAACTGCATTCTTCAAGCGCTGTGTTATGATTTCTCTCAATGTTTTTGTTTTCCAAATGTCTAAATGGGGATATTTTCTATATAGAAAATCAATATGATGCTCGCTAGTGACTTGCTACTGGATGGAGTTTCTTGGAGCTCTAGTGAGAAGTCGTGACCAGTGAGGTCCAATTAGATGACACGTGTGTGGATGGATGTCCCACCAACGACAATGGTTGGGGTCGCGCCAAATCACGAATTGGTGGGAGTTAGAATTCATGAGCCACTGAATCAGGTCCCAGTGGCTGAATGGTATACGAGCATGCCTTGTAACCGGAAGGTCCCGGGTTCGAATCCCAGTGGATGCATACTGCCGATGATTCCTAAACTAGGAAGAAACAGCTCTCCAGTAAACCTATTTTAACTATAACATCCCCCCCGCCTATGCTTAATGCTTGAATTATATATTCAATAAATATTTAGATATTTTCCCGATCTCTTATGTTTTATCGCCCTTGTTTGTTTTGTTTTTTTCTTCAGAATCTAGTGATTTACATAAAAAACATACTCGTGCCTATAATTTATGGGCTAATCAAACAGTTAAACCATCCTTATTTCAACAAGATGGATATAACAGCTTCAATGTGTACGGTAGCAGCGGAGATGAGCATACAACTATCGGTGATATGCTCTCCGGTTCACGGAATACAACTAAAACAAGCCTACAAGGTAGTAGTCGTCTAGATTCATTATTATCAACTGAACTAATTGATTTATGCGGTGCTGCAACAACCACTGCTGCAGGAAGTGGTGGCGCTTTAAATAAAGATGATCCTTTCGTGAAAGGGAATACTACATCAACTACACTGAAAGATCCTAATTCAATAATGTATACTAATAATAATAATAGATTTGATTATATTGAAAAGGATCAGATCAATCAATCCCCGTATATTACTACCACTGATCCGTATTTAGAACCTGTTTCACTTAAAAGACGACAACAGAATTTGATTACTAATCAGATTAATAACATCGATAACAATAATAATAATAATAATAACCGTACTCAAACTAATGGCAAAATCAATGGTGATACAGGAATAAATACAAATTATGACCTCCTCAAAGGAAATAGTAAGTTATGTCTTTGCAAGTTATGTGATCTCGACGATTCCAAGTATTTGTTGTACTACTATCTGAAGCTGACATTTGTAAAAAATTATTATATTTGTGTAAAATCTCAGCGAGATTGAAATGAGTAATTCCAACGTTTCCTGTGTGTTCGGCAATCTGGTCCAAACTTCTTCAGGGAAATTAATCGAAATTAACATAACAGAGGTTTATATATTATAAAAAGGGGGACATCACTTGTTTTTAAAAATTTGTCCAATCATGAGTCATTCAACAAGAAGTATACTAAACAAAATTTTATGAGCTGTGATCAACATTTCACCTCGGACTTACAAATATTTGGTCTACCTTTGTTAAACACTTTAAACAGAGTGTGTATGTGTGGGTGGGTGAACAGCTGTAAAACATTTCTTAGCGTCTCCATAAGAAGATATGGACAGTCGAGAATTTTGACCAAGTATTATTAATTAGTGATACATATCCATTTTTTATTTATTTATTAATAAGGATTTCCTATGCATCAGCTAACATCACACCTTCATGTCTGTTCAAACTGTTAGTATCTAGAATTTTATGGTTAGACGTATTTTCAAAATTATTATGGTGTTTAGGATTAGAGTTTAGTAGAAGCACCCTGTTGGACTTATTGCTTTGTCTTCTTCTTTCTGAAGATTGAGCTGCTTTATTCGACCTACTGGAGTTGTCAGGTGACTCGGCAGCTACGGATTTAGGATATGCATTATTCTGTTGCAGACAACGGAGAGAGTGAAAATACGATGACTGTTCCAATTACACAGTTTCTTTGTTAATTTAATTCGATAGCAAAATAATTCAAATGAACTGTCGTCAAGATTTTAGAACTATTCTGTCAAATCTTGACGATAGTTCATTTGAAATATCTGAATTATCTGTCCTTTATCAATGTGAACAATTTTTAAAGCCACCGTTCATCTGATTATAATCACCCAAACATTCTTGATTATTGGATAGGACGATATGTCTATTACTCTCTATCTTATTATTATTGCGTCGGTGGCACAGTGGTTAGAGCTCTCGCCGACCATGCACATGGTCCGAGGTTCGATCCCCCGCCGACGCACACCTGATATTTATGGTCGACCGGCTAAATTTGGGCTACCGATATCACATGCTGAAAATTTCATACTTGTACCAAAATACTGTGTGGAATGAAGCTATAATAAAATAAAATATTATCATTATTCCCTTGGGTTCCAAGTAAAACATAGTACTTCAGCAGCATACCTCCATTTCACTGTGTTCTCCAACTGGTAAAATCCCGGTTCGGGTTCTACTCGAGAGCCTCCCGTGTGATGTCACTCGATTGTCTCCTCCGCGTATTTCCGTCCAGTTCATCTAAATTTTCTTCGGTCCGTATCTTAAGCGACAGGTTCGTGGTTGGCTTCCATATTAGTTTGTTTATTAGATATATCACACAGTGAAACAGTATTATTTACTGGATGACGAGGTTTCGAACAAAATGTATTGTTCATAATCATATCATCAATTGTAATCACACGACTTTGACACTTGAGTTTTATAGTTTTCTTTGTTCTCTCCTATTTGTCGTCTTAGGGGTAGTAGAATTTTCCAGATATCGGGGACAGGCGATGAATCATTCCTATTACATGTATTTGCAGTTGATTCGATAAACAAAGCCTCAGTCAGTTATCAATGTCTCCCTATACCCTGTAACATTAGATTTTAAAACTGTCATCCCATCCCATCCTATTGTATGGTTGTGTGTAATTGCATGTGGTGTAGTGCTATAGCTGAACTACTCTCTAGATTTGTTATGTTATTCGGGTCAACCAATCTAGATTTTGCTAAGTTTTATGTTCAGCTAGTCTGACTGCCCCAGTTCTACTAGTTTGACCTATGTGTTTGACCTGACAATCATTGCAGGCAGGGTATTAGATAAACTAAATTGTTTTGCTTTAAAGGCTCTACAGTGTCCTTTAACCGACAAAGCTTGTTTCTAATTGAGTTTGTGGGTTTGAATGCCAACCACTTTTATCCCTATCTGCCTTGTTAAGAATTCTGCGTAAGGTGGTTTCCGAGGTTCCTTCCTTGTATGGAATTACTGCTGATGATTTAGGTTCCTTATTGTTGGTGTCGTCATTAATATTATTATAATTGTTATTATCACTATCGCTACTATCATTATTTATTTTATTTTTACATTTCCTTACATATTTCCTGAGTAATTTATCCGGCTAATTATTAAGTTTCAAGGCTTCTTTTATGTGCATCAGTTACTGTTTTAGATTTTCTTTAGTACTACTTAATTTTTGTGCTCTGTCATTTAAACATTTCACCAATCCTATTTTTACTGACACAGGATGGGATGATCGGAAGTTCAAATATCTGTTTGAGTGTGTGGGTTTTCTGTAAACACTAGTGTGTTTAACTCCCCATCTTCTTTCCTCTGTACGTTGCAATCAATCGTGGTTGGTTTGTTGCCAGCGTTCGCTTTTGTCCATCTTTTCCTGCCAGTCATCTGGTCTTCAGTGTAACGAGCTGGGGTACCTGTGTGACGGAATTTGCAGTCTGTTGGGAATGCTTTTCATGACGAGACAGTTCTCGGAACAATATAGAAGCTCATACAATGATTCCCTTTTATAAATTTAAACAAAGAAAGAAGAAACATTGACGCAGAATAATCTGGATCCATTTTATTTCGTTGGTTCTCATCAGCTACGTACAACTTTTATTGATTAGGAAGCATAGTGTGAGAGCGTCATAGTAAAATAAGACATTGAGATATACAGAGTGTCACTACATATATATCTCGGTAGAGAGAAGTTTCTTGAAAAAATTAGTTAACAGTTGTGTTGTTAGGGTGGTAACAAAAGACGATTAGCAACAGCTACGTAATTGCATGAGGGAAGATCAAATTTTCTTTAAATTACGGTGCACATGAGGTCAGATGAGAAGTTGATGATGTAATACAGTGAGTAGAACTCAGAAGGTCAAGAAAAATTATCTCTTGCTAATGGACAAAGGTTGTACGCAGCTGATGAGAACCAACGAAATAAAATGGATCCAGATTATTCTGCTCCAAAGTGTTTCTTCTTTCTTTTTCCAATACAGAAGCGTTAGATTACTTGAGATTAGTGTTGAAAACCCGGATCTTATTCAACACACCAAATGCACACTGATTTCACAGTCATGAAAGTTTTTCTTCCCTTACCAATCCTCATCGGTGCCGTCTGTAGTGGAAGAAGTAAGCTCGCTCAAATGTCTTCTACTGATAGTGGTTAGTACTTGTGTTTTGTTGGTCTAGCATTCCTATTACCTTTGTCTTCTCTATGTTTACTTGAAGTCCTGTCCTCGCTACCAATTCTCCTGACAACTTTTTGGATTTCACCTGTAAGTCTTCGAGAGGAGAACCCATTGCTGATTGAATTTTAATATGTAATTATAAAGAAAACAGTACCTTTCACTTCTTTGTAGGAAACTATCCAACTAATGTTTTTCTAAAGAATGCCTGTCGACATGGGCACGTCGACAGATGTTTACCAAATTCATTAGAAATCACAAGGTTGTCGTTTACTCTGCCGACCGATAGCTGCTACTTTAAGAAATGGTGGTCGCGCTTGCATATCGCAAATGGTCCAACGAGCTACACTCTCTGTAACCAATTTTCCAGCAGGTCCTATCATACCAGGAAGGTCGGTTGGCTAGCGGTTAGGCTAAAGGTAATTACCATCATAGTGTATGTTCTTTACACTTCGTTGGGAATCTGTAGGCGAAGTCACGCTGCTGAGGAACTGGAATTTAACAGCAATAAGATGTGTTTTCCTCATACTACCAACAAGCCAACTATGCTGCCTATCTGCTCTGTGAAGGAGGGCCAGCAAACGCCTACGCAAATAAAGGCAGAAGATAGACTGGTCCCTACGGGAAAGGAACAATTCGATTTCTCCTACAGAAATATATTATATGCAAATATTATATACCTCGGAGAGTCAGGCTAAAAAATAACCAGTTATATTGGTTTCATAAGGTTGGGCTTCAACATTGTCCATTGTGCTTCCGCCTGAAGGCATAATTTACGCATTCTGGTGAAATTCGATCCAATTCTCTTTCAGCTCTTCTTAGCCTCTTCCTATCACTAACAGTACATCTAGATTAAATATGAACTTCTCTGTACACAGAAGACAAGCCAGTTGATGAGAACTTAGCATATCCTGCGCTTACTAGGACGTAACATCCTAGAATAGCCGTTTTAACCTTTAGTAGGGTTCAGTTGTAGAAACATTGGCAACTGTAAGAACAGAATATAGCATCAATTCATGAAGTCCCTGACTGACTTTGAGAAATCTTGACAACCAATCTTGACCAAAAACATTCTCAATAGATCATCCTTGAAATTGTTTTGTCTATTAAAGCCACGTTTGTATACTGGGAGATCTCTTCACCTCCATTTTGTGTGCATTATGCCGACGTTTGACAACTAAAGCCGGTTGTTGTATGCATTTCTACACTAAGACAGAATAATCTGATTTCGCGTATATTTATACATATTGATCTTTAGATAAAGCAATAAGAAGGTGTAATTTGTCTGAATCGTGTAATGTGTATTTGCGCAACACATTTCGAACAATCTGATCCATCACACACGGACTTGTCATAGGAATATATATGAAATTAATACAGAGGCAAGAGGTAAGAAAATAGACTTAGGTCAAGTTAAAAGGACATATTCAAGGTCAAAGTAACAATGAAGACCACTAAACCAACTCGCCCCTAAGAAAGACGTGTACATCAAGCTACTCTATATGGGGCATCAGAGCAGCTTGATAACTAGACAAAGACTGAACGCTGCTGTCAAAAAGGCTTTTTATGCAGCCAATATCAGAATAATAGAGAATGTAAAGCCAATATATCCATCCATCTAAGCCCTTCGAACATGCGAAAAATGACGTCACATCCCACTGTATTTACCAATTTGGATGTACGTGTGGACACACTTACATAGGGAGGACTCATCGATCTCTGCAAGTAAGGGTTGGCTTCGGAGCATATTCCTAAATGGCTCCAGAAACAAATGGAATCTTCAGAACCCATTAATGGTGAGAACAGGAGACCTAGCTCTTCTATTGCGAAACATATTACAGAGGAGACAGGACATAAAATTGACGTTAACGGATCTTTTAAACCTATCTATAAAACGTGTTTGGGGGAGGGCGGATCCTAAAGTTTGTGGAAGCCCCAGCTAGCAATTAGAAAGTTTAAACCACCTTTATGCGTTCAAAGCAAGAATTCGTCATCACATTAAACCTTCCTTGGTAAATTTTGTTTTGATATCATAGCAGATGTACTATTACCTCTGCTATTTGGTTTAGTGACTGATCTTCATTGTTATTTTGACCTTGAATATGTCCTTTTAACTTGACCTAAGTCTATTTTCTCACCTCTTAACTCTCTATTAATTTGATATATATTCCTATGACAAGTCCATGTGTGATGGATCAGATTGTTTGAAATGCCTTGCGCAAATACATCACACACACGATTCAGACAAATTACGCCTTCTTATTACTTTATCTAAATTCATGAAGGGAACTAATTGTTTTAAATATTGATTTTTCCCATTAAACAACAAATTTTCTTTTTTTTTCCAATCTACATCCTTTATGACACAAAAGAACCTGATCAGCATGCAATTCATAGTGGAACAAGTTCTGCCATCAGTTCTTTAGTATTCGCTGATGACTGCGACATTATTTCAAAGGTATCCGATAATTCGCTGAATAAATCTGATCAATATAGTGAATTGCACAGATTAACACCACAAATATCAAATAAATCGATTGTTTCTAATCCAACTCCTGTTGCTCCTGCACCTCCGCCTCTTACTGCAGCGCATAAAACGGCTAATCCTCCAACGAATATTCTTAATATTCCACAATTGCAGCATGATATACCTACTATTGATTATGTCACATATGATGAAGCACGTTCAACAGAAAACAATCTTTTGATACAAAATAAAAAACCTGTGAAACAATCAATCAAATCGCCACCACCATCAGTAGACTATAAGAGTAATAATAATAATAATAATAACAATGATGATGATGATTATTACGCTCAAAATATTTTAAAATCAAATGAAACAATTCTCTCATCGAGATCGTCGATTATGCCTGACTATTCACAAATGAAAAGAAGACGAAGTACCATAAAAAGTGAGTAGATTTCATTTCACTTCTGTTGTAATATCATTTAAGCTGTTTCCAGGATAGAATTAATTCAGTTGCTTTGGTGAATTGATATGAGTTCCTCTGGACTGTTTTTATGATTTGCAATTAATAGTGTTCTCTGAGGAGCTGGTTGATTTAGTTGCAGAGCTTTCGTCGTCCTCCTGCTGGAAAACACCCCCCTTCAGCGCAATATTCAGCATAAAGTGAAATGATTTAAATTTCTTCATGAGTGATATAATTGCCTACGTCTCCCGGTAACTATCTTTACATATGTATTGACCATTTTCTATTGACTTGGATTTTAAACTTTCTGGTCACCTGATTTTTTTTACTTTTTATTAGTTCGTATATTTCCTCTATATTAACGTGTTTGTTTGTTAAGTGCATTTTCGTTTGAGTGCCAACCAGGCTTCTAGGAATTCCCTGACTGAACTTTCGGTGTTTCCCCTGTCTAAGATTTTGACATTATCCCAATCAAATTGATGATCATAATTGTCTATATGCATTGATACGAAAGAATCTATATCGTGTCTTTTCACGGCTGATTTGTGTTCCTGGATTCTAATTCGAAGGGGACGCTCACTTTGGCCGATTTAATGCTTGTTGCAGTTCATAAAATTTATTTTGTAAATGGTATTAATTATATCCCCTTTTTCTGTTGGATATTTTGGTTTGCATAATATCGAATTAAGCGATTTGACTGGCTTGTGTGCTATATCTATATCAAACGGTTTCAGTATTCTAGCTGTTATTTCAGAGATATTCCTCATGTATGGTAGAATGAATTTTCTTGTGGTCTTTGATGATGGTTTCTTGTTGGTGTTTTGATTCGACTTCAAACACTTTTCGATGAAATTTTGTGGATAACCATTCTTTTTGAAGACCGTTTGTAGGTACTTTTCCTGCATTCTTTTCAACTCTGGAGTGCTACAATGTGTTTGAACTATCTTTTGAACAATATCTGCACACAGTTTCGTTTGTGAGTAATTGGATTATTGCTAGTATAGTTGAGTATTTGATCTATGTGTGTGCGTTGATTTTCTATATACTTGTGCTTCCAAATCTCCTGTGTTGGTTCTCCTGATTAAGACATATGAAAATGGGATTTTGTTACCTAATTCTTCTTCTCTTGTGAATTTGATGTCCTTAGATATGTTGTTTATTAATTTATGGGTATATTCTAAATCATTTCTCTTGATTATTACAAATTTATCATCAACGTAATGTACCCAGATTTTCGGCTTAATTACAGTAGAGCTATTCATTCTAATCTTTGCATTACAGCTTCAGCTGTTAATCCTTAGGCGAGAAATCTTAATTATTTCTCAGTTCATATTAGATTTTGTTTTTCCTTGACGTTCCCAGTGGAACATAGCGCCTCAAGTTAGTGGCTTGAAGTTTCTGTAGCAGTGTTTATTTTACAGGATCGGGTTGCTAGCCTTATGCCCAACCTCTCCTCTTTACCAGCATTATTTCTGGCTTAGCGAGGTAAAGGAGTGCATCGACCGTGGATTGAACCCCGGACCATGTGCATGGTCGGCGAGCGTCCTAGCCGCTATGACACCAACGCAAATATTAGATGGTTGGAGGCAATTAGCAGGAAACTTTGCTTGACCTGGGTTTCGTTCTAGTTGGCACTCACCAGTCAGTCAGAAAGGCGTATCTGCAAACAATTTGGAAGGACTCATGTTCCCTTCTTAGGTTCAAACCCGCATCATCCAGTGATGAAGTGTGATAGACGTTACCACTGAGCTATTCGGTCTTCCAACTGACCTCCTGTAGAACTGTATTGGATATTTTGATTGGACACTAGTTACTAAATAATGTTTAATCAAAGTACCTCTCAGTTCATTTTATATTCCCACTGTTAAAAATTAAACAAGACAATATAAGCGAACACTATTGCTGCTTTCAATTAGATCTTCTTTAATTGTTACTTTTATTTTATTGTTCCCTTGGGTTCCTAGTGGAAAATAGGACTTCAACCACACGTCTCCACTTGCTTCTGTCCTCTGCTGTACTTTTCACTTGCATCCATGTTAGTCCATACTGTGTCAACTCCTCTTCACATGATCTCCTCCATGTCACCCTTGCACTGACGTCCCACTCGCCACTTCCCTTTCACGCTCCACTCGAGCACTGGCCTGACTGACGCGCGATGTCACCCAGCCGCCTCCAAAGACAGTATTCAATCCATCTCCACTTTCTCTTGAATATTTGTTGACCGATTGGTTCTTGTTTTGTTTGTTTCCATAGTTTCTCTTTGGTTCTTGTTCATTCCAGCCATCTGATCTTCAGTATAGAGCCAGCGAAGACAGTTGTTGTTGATAAAGGTGTGCAACAGGCTGTTGGAAATATTCTTTGTGACCCGCCGCCAACAAGTTTCTGATCCATCCGTATAGAAGAACTGACTGACTGACTGACTGACTTGACGTTTGTTTGTATTGAAAATCCGAATCATTTTGTTGTTGATGCAGGCTGAGTTGAGTGACAGCGGAAGATTTCCAGATTGGTTGGTTTCAGGTTGATGAATGTGTTTCTCGCCTTCCCGATTCTCGATTTGACATCGTCGTCCGTTCCTCGTGTAGTTGAGACAATGCTCCCTCCCTAGATAAGTGAATAAAGTAACCTCTTTCCACTCCCTCCCGTTGATGGTGATTGGCTCTGGATGTTGCTGCTGTTGTTGTTGTGGTTGGTTGGTGATTTTCATAACCTCCGTCTTGTCTATGTTCACCTGGAGTCCTGTCTTCTCTGGCTGCTTCTTCGACCAGTTTGTCGGTCGGTTTTCGCTTGTAAGTCTTCGATTTTTTGTAGCATCAAACATAAATCATCCACGCGCGAAATCCACGTCTTCTAGGTTCTTCACGTCGGTGGTCCAGGATATCCCTGTCTTCTCGTTTCCCACTGTCTGACGCATAATCCAGTCCACCACAATTAGGAATATCATTGGTGATAATAAGCACCCTTGTCTGACTCCTGTGTTTACTCGAAACGCCTCGCTGAGTTATCCGTTGTGGATCACTTGACATGTGCCGTTGTCGTACAGCTGTTGAATAAGGTTGATGAATATTTGTGGTACGCCGTAGTGCTCGAGTAGTTTCCAAATTACTTCGCGGTCAACGCTGTCGAATGCCTTCTCAAAGTCTATAAAGTTGAGGTAGAGGTTTGATTGCCATTCCATGCTTTGTTCGATGATGATGCGTAGAGTTTTAATTTGGTCAGAACATGGTTATTATAATAAACTCCAAAAATTCACCAATACAAACGATCTTCCTTTCTGGTTAAATTATATAATCGTTTTCATGGAATTTCCTAAATTTTCTTGGGTTTTTTTAAATATCTTTTCAGGCTGTGATTCGCGTCCATTATCTGATGCGATGATTAGTAATCACTACTATGATTTAAATAAAAATACAAATTATCAAGATATCTCTATGATATCACCATCGCAACCTCCAGGAGATGGAGGTGATAACATTCCATCGGCAATTAAATCTCATCCACCTTTACCGCCTTTATGGTCTAACAATAATGATCGAAATTTCGGCTCAGTAGATTCATTGTATGAAACAGTTGACCTACCGAAGACAAATTCTGCAATTCCTACGATGGCACCGAAAACTGCAACAGCAATGGCTCATATGGTAAGTGTTGATGTATTTATTTAATTTATATTAAAAGCTGATAACAGTGATGAGTGGGTGGAAGATTGTGTCCAGAAATGAACCAATCAGAACTTGGCATGTAATTAATTTTGACTCATAGTTTGACTGACTGACAGACAACCAATCAGGGTGATATCCTTTCAAAACGCCTACTCTTTTGACCTGAAAATATGTATATATTCTCATTTCATATCTGAGTTATTGGTCAGAAAATACTTCCATTGGTGAGGGATCAGTTCGAAGGCGTGTGGGACTTAGGCGGTGGTATACAGTCGGTGTTCGTGCACGACCGTGTCTATATCTGTCTGTCTGTCTGGATTCAACATAGAACTTGCCACCGAAGTGCACCAGTTCGAGTTGCCATACTCCAAATAGCACACAAAGGTAGACAAGAAGATGAGTGAAGAGAATCAATAGAGTTTTGACAAGTATAAGAGTGAAACAGAATGAGTAATGGTAGAAAGGAATTTGAAAGATTACAGAGACTGAATAGATCTGCGTAAGCCATTGACAACGATTTCCAGCCATGTCACCTATTGTCTCCAGCCATTGATTGATTCTTAGAGTCGCGAGGGCGGGCCCCAACCCGTAAGTCTCCATCTCCCTCCCTACCTGACTCAGTTTAACTGTCAAGGATTTCATGGATTGATGAGGCCATGTTTTTATTTGGCCACCCCTTACTCTTTCTTACTTCCAACCTGCACCTATATGAGCTAGTAATGCCCGTCCATCGGGGGAGGTGATGGTTAGGCATGCGCACCACGTCACCACCTAGCCATCTCAATCTATGTAACTTTATAGTCTCTTCGATTGATTTTCCCTCTTTGCCCAACACTCTACACCTAACGTCAACATTACCTACCTTATTATACCACCACCTAACGTGAGAAAGAGATCGTAGACATCTATGATCAAAAACAGTCAACCTTTTCATGTCTTCAACTCGGATTGGCCATGTTTCAGAGCCATAGAGAAGGACGGAGCGAACTGCTGAGCAGTACACATGTCCCTTGGTTGATAGTCGGATGTCACGCCTACGCCAGAGATGGTGTAAGTTAGCGAAAGCAGCCCGTGTCTATATAGCCGTTGATAAGCTTTCCTAAGAAGTTATCAAAAAATAATAATAATAGTTAGGAACCATTGAAAATATAGATTAGAAAATGGCGAATTCAGACTACACAAACCACCACCGTAGTCGTCCACCTTACCACTAACCTCGAGCAACTAATCAGAGTTAAGGAGTAGAGAAGCAGCAAGGATTTTTTTTAAAATTACTAAAAATATCATGTTGTTCTGAAATTCGTTCATGTTTCTGATTCCATTCCATTAAATTCCCCCAGAATTCCACATCAGCTCTTAAAAGACTAGTTACCCTATCAAGTTTCCTCCTCATATGTGTATGTGTGCCAGCCATCATTCATAGAGAAATCAATCAGTCAATCTCTTCCTGAAACTCATTAACCGAATCCACAACAGAAGTCATAATTCTGTTTGGTTATACCACTGGGAAATCTAATTCGTTGTCGAAGATCACTTACCAGTTGGCTGTTGTAGTTGAATTTCACCTGGAAAAGTTTATTAGGTTTTTTTAGAAATAAATGTATTACACAGCTAAGCTTGCCATTCCAGTGTACATTTCGTCACGAACCGACGAGCAATAGAGAGCTGTTTCGTCTTATTTCGGGATTCCTCATCAGTGTGCACCCACGCTCCCATCAGGGTTCGTACTCGGGATCTTCAGGTTAGAAGACCTAGCTGATAGACCATTTAGTCACTTGGACTGGTTTTTAGTGACTTTTGAATTGCAACTCTGTCAGTTCGTGATATAACGCGGCTCTCCACTCCATTTCGGTATGGTGGTGGCTTCTACTGGTCAAAAAGTCTTAGTACTGCTTCAGGAGATCGATATTCAGATCATAGGATTCCTTCAGATTTTGGATCAATTTCACTTGTCGTTAGATTCCTCTCATCGAAGGCATTGATGAGGACAGAGAGCAAGCACTATGGCCACGAGATGACAGCGTTAACATTCACAGGTCACTGAATTTTGTCCGATGTGGCTCAGTCGTCAATCGTCAGCTTGGTCATGTAAACTGAAGGTCCCCGGTTCGATCCCTCGTGAGAGCACACCGCTGAGGAGTACCGAGATGGGACAAAACAGCTCTCCATTGCTACCACGCTTTCAACGATCTCACTAAATGATGCTGGTTCGCGGTTGAAACCAAACAAATGAAATCATTACAAAATTCCAAATAAATCTTATGGTTTGCACTATGATGATGACAACTCAGAACTTTTTTTACTGTCCTCTTTCACGGAAGCTTATATATATATACATACATATGCATATATATATATAATTCCATATAAGTTTCTTTATTAGATATATCACGCACAGGGTGAAACAGTATTATTTACTGGATGACGTTTCGAACAAAATTTATCATTGTTCATAATCATATCAATCGTAATCACACGACTTTGACACTTGAGTTTTATAGTTTTCTTTGTTCTCTCTCTCCTATTTGTCGTCATCGGCGTAGTAGAATTTTCCAGATATCGGGGACAGGTGATGAATCATTCCTATTACATGTATTTGCAGTTGATTCGATAAACGAAGCTTCTGTTATCAATCCCTTCCTATACCCTGTGACAGTAGATTTTAAAACTGTCATCCTATCCCATCCTATTGTATGGCTAGTTGTGTGTAACTGCATGTAGTGTAGTGCAATACCTGAACTATTCTCTAGATTTCTTATCTTATTTGGATCAACCAATGTAGATTTTGCTAAATTTTTATATTCAGCTAGTCTGACTGCCCCTGTTCTACTAGTTTCACCTATGTATTTGACCTCACTGACAATCATTCCAGCAGGGTATTAGAAAAACTAAATTGTTTTGTTTTAAAGGCTCCTCAGGATTGATCCTTTAACCGACAAAGCTTGTTTCTAATTGAGTTTGTGTGTTTGAATGCCAGCCACTTTTATTCCTGCCTTGTTAAGAATTCTGTGTAAGGCTTCCGAGGTTCCTTCCTTGTATGGAATTACTACTGGTGATTTAGATTCCTTATTGTTGGTGTCGTCATTAATATTATTATAATTGTTATTATCACTATCGCCACTATCATTATTTATTTTATTTCTACATTTCCTTACATATTTCCTGAGTAATTTATCCGGGTAATTATTAAGTTTCAAGGCTTCTTTCATGTGTATCAGTTCCTGTTTTAGATTTCCTTTGGTACTACTTAATTTTTGTGCTCTGTCATTTAAACATTTCACCAATCCTATTTTTACTGACATAGGATGGAATGATCGGAAGTGCAAATATCTGTTTGAATGTGCATGTGGTTTTCCTGTAAACACTAGTGTGTTTAACTTCCCATCTTCTCTCCTTTTCACGTTGCAATCTAAATTTGGGAGCTCCCCTTCCTGATTTTCCAATTCATAAGTGAATTGAATTGCTTCAACCTTCGAGTTGATGTGTTCGAAAAACCTATCTATATCTTGTGTTTTAAGTACAGTGAATGTGTCATCTACTTACCTCCATCATACTTTTGGGCTGGGGGTGAACGTTTCAATCGCTATGCTTTCCCACTTATCTATGAATATATCTGCTACAACCATTTTACTGTTCCCTTGGATTCTGTTTGAAAAAACATAAAAGCTTAGCAAAATCTAAATTGGTTGATCCAAATAAGATAAGAAATCTAGAGAATAGTTCAGCTATAGCACTACATGCAGTTACACACAACCATATATATATATATATATATATATATATATGGTTGCACAGGTAAAGAAAATGAGTCCATTGAAAAGAGCCTCTTTGTTGCGCTACATGTTTTGTCCTTTTCAATTTCAATAAATCAAAAATCAACCAACCCATGATTCAATCAAGTTAGTTATCAGCTCACATACAGTGAAATTTACTCTTTTGTAAAGTGAGCGAGTGAACTGAAACATAGGTACAACAACAGTGAACATATTGAGGCACCTCAGTTGAATATCGAATGCAACTAGTCTCTCCCAACAGTTTCTGTTTTACTGAACCATGAAAATATTAGAAAACAGAGTCAGTCACCAGCTAGTGACTGTAAGGATGATTGTATTTAACAAAAATATGTCATGTATGCCCTGAACGATAGCTGCTACCTTGACGTGGTGGTCGGGCTTGCATATCGCAATGACCAAACGAGCTACACCGGCTGGAACTTATATTCCTGTAGGTCCTACCATGCCAGAAAGGTTGTTTGGATAGCGGTTAGACAAAAAGCAGTTACCCAACCCAATGCTATGACTCAAAGTAAACCACAAAATATTATGCCGGATCGGTCGGGGCCCGGATTAACAACGACCGCGCTTCCTACTGCTGTGTCACGGGGCAGAAGTGATAAATATGCTTCTGAGACACACCAAACGAGAAAGATCAAACAAAAACAGGCCGCGTGTGACCGGCCTCAAGCAGTTGTCCCCTGGGCTCTGCGGTCACGCAACACTAACCTTCTCTCTCTCCCCTTCTCAAGCGTGAGGCTCGCAACCCCATCCTGTAAACAAAGCTGCTACAGAAACTTCAGCACGATGAATCTCCTTGCGCCAAAAGAAAAAGTCTGTGTGGGGACATGGAATGTCCGCGCCATGTACGAGATTGCCAAAGCTGCCCAGATCGCAAACGAAGTGAAAAGATACGGAATTCAAGTACTGGGGATGTGTGAAAGCAGATGGAACGGGAATGGACTCACCAAATTGTCAACGGGTGAGTCAGTGATCTACTCCGGTCACCCAGAGGATAAACACATGCACACCGAGGGCGTGGCTATCATAATGTCACCAACGGCAACGAAGGCCCTGGTGCAATGGGAGGCGATCTCGCCCAGGATAATGACCGCCAGATTCAACTCCAAAGGAAGGAAAGTGTCAGTTATACAATGCTATGCACCGACAAACAACGCAGACCTCGAAAAGAAAGAAGAATTCTACACACAACTACAGGCAACAATGGACAATACTCCAGTTGGTGACATTAAAATGCTAATGGGAGACATGAACGTCAAACTGGAATCAGACAACACAGGAAGGGAACTCATCATGGGGAATGAATGAAAACGGAGAACTCTTCGCCGACTTCTGCGCCTTCAATGAACTAATGATTGGTGGCAGAGTATACAAACACAATGATATCCACAAGGCTACATGGGTGTCACCAGATGGGCGAACCAAAAACCAAGTCGACTTCATCTCAATCTCAAGGAAGTGGAGGCGCAGCCTGCTGGACACAAAAGTAAGAAGAGGAGCAGACGTTGGCTCAGACCACTACCTCGCACAAGGGACAATCCAAATCAAATTAAAAGCTTTCAGAGAAACAGGAACTGCAGATAGACCACAAGCCAAGTTCAACACTCAAAAACTGAACGACCAGGACACAAAGGACATCTTCACTGCAAGCATAAAAGACAAAGCCGAGACACGAATCAACACTGGCGAAGAGGTCAGCGTCGAAAAGCACTGGAACAACTTGAAAACAGTGTGGAGTGAAACCTGCATGGAAGTTCTAGGCAGAAAGAAGGGACAGGACAAACAGTGGCTCACTATGGACACTTGGAGTCTGATAGAAGAGAGAGGGATGGTGAAACAAAAGATTCTCCAGTGCACCGACGAGCAACAAAAACAGGATTTGAATGCAAACTACAAGACACTGAACAAAAGAGTAAAGAGTAGTGCCAGGGAAGACAAAAGAAAATATTATGAAGCCGTGGCAAGTGAAGCAGAACAAGCTGCAGGCAAAGGAGACATCGCAACACTACCAAACAACTAGGCACCTATCGGGCAAAAGTTTGACACAAATTAAGCTAGTGAAGGATGACGATGGAAAGTCACTCACCGAAGAAGTGGAGCAAAGGAAACACTGGGCTAAACACTTCAAAAGACTCCTAAATCGACCATCACCTACAACGCGCCCAACAATACCAACGACGGAGACAGAGCTACTAGTGAACACCAACCCCCCGACGAAATCAGAAGTCCTGAAGGCAATCAAGATGCTAAAATCTGGAAAAGCAGCAGACCAGATGGAATCCCAGCAGAAGCATTAAAAATGGACCCAGAGACAACAGCGGACTTGATGACGCCACTACTGGAGAAGGTGTGGAAAGAAGTCAAAGTACCAGAGGATTGGAAGAAATGATACTTATTCAAACTACCAAAGAAAGGAGACTTAAGTCAATGCAAGAACTGGCGTGGAATTATGCTCCTCTCCATCCCAAGCAAAATACTAAGCCGCATCATCCTGGAGAGAATCAAACATTATTTTGATTTGACACTAGTAACTAGTGTGATGCATCTAGTCCTCTCTTTGGTGCAGACTGAATTCTGTCAGTCAGGTTGTAATGTGGCCACCATTATAGGTAGCTCGCCATCACGGTGTACATTGTTTGTGATGATATTAGATGGTTGGAGGCAATCGGCAATCGACGCATCACACTAGTTACTAGTGTCAAATCAAAATATCCACTACAGTCTTACAGGAGGTCAATCGCTAGCCCGAATAGCTCAGTGGTAACGTCTCTGAATGCAGCACTGGGTGACGCGGGTTCGAATCTCAGAAGGGACATGAGTTCCTTCAAGGTTGCAGATACGCCTTGCTGACGAGCGCCAACTAGCACGAAACCTAGGTCCAAGGCTTCCTACCGATTGCCTCCAACCATCTGATAAAAATCAAACATGCCCTGGATGAAAAACTTCGACTGGAACAGGCTGGATTCAGGAGAAACAAGTCATGTATTGATCAGATCGCCACATTACGGATCATCATTGAACAAAGCTTGGAATGGCAGTCACCTCTCTACCTCGCTCAACTTCATCGACTTTGAAAAGGCCTTCGACAGCGTCGATCGAGAGGTGCTTTGGCAACTACTCCGCGACTACGGGGTGCCACCGACAATTATACATCTCATCCAACAGCTGTACAACAATGCTGCATGCCAAATAATCCACAACGGGAAACTTACGAAATCCTTCAGAAGTGAGGACAGGAGTAGGACAAGTTGGCTGCCTACTATCGCCAATGATTTTCCTGATTGTAGTAGACTGGGTAATGCGACAGACAGAAACGGGCAGCGAGGAAATAGGCATAAAATGGACTCACATCAAAAAATTGGAGGATCTTGACTTCGCCGATGATATATGTTTGATTTCCCACAAACTAGAAGACATGCAAGCGAAAAGCAACAAGTTCGCAGAAGAAGCATCAAAGATAGGAAGGACTTCAGGTGAACATAGAGAAAACAGAGGTGATGAAGATTCCTGGCTAACACCAACAGCAACAGCAACAACAACAGACAACAATCAGCATACATGGCAGGAACCTGAAAGAAACAACCTCTTTTACCTACCAACCGACCTGGGAAGCATCGTTTCAACTACAGGCACACGGAACTGACGAGGATATCAAAGCAAGAATCGATCGGAAAAGCAAGACAAGCTTTCACTACTCTCAAGTCTGTGTGCAGGAGGTCAACAGTGAGCACTCAGCATCAAAATGACAATAAGATTCGGATTTTCAACTCCAATGTGAAGTCAGTCAGTGCTACTTACTATACGGATGGATCAGAAACTTGCACTGCGCGTCATAAACAGCATCTCAAACAAACTACAGACCTTCATTAACAGCCAGTTGTCTCCGCTCAACACTACTCAAGATCAGATGGCCGGCCGGCCAGAAAACATCAGCAACAGATAGGGATCTCTGGCAATGATCGAACCAACCAACACAGCAGGAACCAACCGATTGTGAAACAAATAGGCAGGAAGAAATGGAGGTAGATGGATTGGCTGGCCATACTCTGAGGAAACAAACCATCAAGTGAGTGACATCACTAGACAAGCCATTGCTCGAGTGGAACCCGGCCGAAAGGGAAGCGGCGGTGAGTTGGTCGTCAGTGGAAGGGTGAGGGTGACTTAGAGGAGGTCATGTGGAGAGGAGATGAAAACGTGTGGGCAGACTTGGAGCTAGGTGAAGACTCTAGCAGAGAACCGAACGCAATGGAGACGCACAGTTGAAGCTCTATGTTCCTCTAGGAATTAAAGGAAACAGTAATAATAATAATAATAATAATATACCATCTAAACACGAAAGGCAGAACACAGACACATATGGTGAAAAATAATTGGCGTCTTCAAGTCTTCCACTTTTTTAAAAGGCCACATCTCATAGCCGTCAAAAATAAACGCACAAAGTGAACAGCAAGCCGTCAAATTTCACATGAATCTTTGTTTATCTATACTGAAATTTTTGACTTGAATTAGTTCATCATTCAGTATGATGTAATTTTCGGCACCAATGAAGTAGTCACACTCCATCTTCAAACCAAAAAAACAACTCGTCTCTATTAGCACTATGAGTATTACAAAATTGTCCTGTCATTAACCATCATATAACTATTAGTTTTTGTGGTTGTTTTTTCTTATTTTCTATACTTTTCGGCAATATTAACTGACAATCATTGGTTGTGAACGCCATTGTCACCACCTTAAAAAATTTTGTATTATTCAGGATTACTCACACTACACCACTACAAACACTGCATTGGACCTGACAATAAAAGAACAAAACAACAACCCTGAAATGTTATTTTAAGATTGTTTAGAGTTGTTTCAACCAAATTAACTGACCATCTTGGCGATAAACATTCTTAAATATCATTTCATAACTTCTAGTATGACTATAGCTTTACTGTCACCATGCATAATCATATCATAGCTTCCACTACTCAATACTGAGTTATTATTATATGATGTTTATTTCTCTTTCTAATTCTTGGTATTTTTTCGCATTTATAATTATTTTGTGTTTATCCTGTTGTTTTTTTTGCTGTTGGTGTCTTTAGATTTTTTTTGTTAAGTACTCCTTTTAAAGGTTTGTAAAATTGGGTGCAAATATTGTAGATATGTGCTGAAAATTCCACACTGTACTACTAGTACTGTTTGTAGAATAAATCAAATTATTATTATTATTGGAGAACCATTGGAAAACCTGGGACTACTGGACAGCTGTTTCGTCCTAGTTTGGGACTCTTCATCAGTACGCATCCACCGGGATTCTACTGATGAAGAGTCCCAAACTAGGACGAAACAGCTGTCCAGTAGTTCCAGGTTTTCCAGTGGTTCTCTAACTAATGTCAGCTCATGATGAAAATCCTGTAATCAATCAAATCCCTACAAACCAACACTTGAATATTATTATTATTATTATTATTATATTCAGCGGCTTATCTTTCTTTCTTTTCAATTTATATTTTATTTTACAGATTCAACGACCATCCTTAATGCCAAGTAGCATGAATACAAACTATGCTGAACGTTGTAAAATGGCATTACCGCCGACACCGAGTTCATTCAGCATCAAGGCACCAGTACGATCAATCGGTGAGATGGATGATTGGAATCTACCAGGTTCAGATGATTCAGATGATGATGATAATCTTGGTTCATGAAGTGAAAAATCAAAATCAATAAATAATAATAATAAAGCAACATTACTATAGGCAAATCTCTATTTTTAAGTGTTCTTTCTTAACCATTCATATCATACAAAACTTCTTGTTTACTATTCAAATCAAAATGGTGGAATACAATAAAGTAAGTAAGTAAGGAAATAGTAATGAGATGCTTGATTTTTCTTAAATAATAGTAGTAGTAGTATGATATTCATTAATCAGTAGTATGGTTTGGTCTCTTCCGCTTTTTTTTCATTTCTTTGAGTCTTAAACGGAACATGGACAGAACGTCAAGCTTGGGGGAATGACGTTTCAGCAGTGATGATGTTCTTTTCATAAGGTGGGGTTGCTAGCTTCATATTTGACCTTTTCTATATTCCGGATTACTACCCTTGGGTTCCTAGTGGAACATAGGGCTTCAACTGCACGTCTCCACTTGATTCTCTCTTCCGCTGTACTTTTCACCTCCATCCATGTTAGTCCATACTGTTTCAACTCCTCTTCACACAATCTCCTCCATGTCACCCTTGCACTGACGTCCCACTCGCCGATTCCCTTTCGGGTTCCACTCGAGCTATGGCATGACGCGCGATGTCACCCAGCCAGCGGCCTCCTCAGCCAGTGTCCAATCCATCTACACTTTCTCCTGAATATTTGTTGGGCGATTGCTTCTTGTTTTGTTTCCTCCCATAGTTTCTTGTTGGTTCTTGTTCTTTCCGGCGGCCATCTCATTGATCTTCAGTGTAGAGCCAGCGAAGACAGTTGTTGTTGATAAAGGTGTGCAACAGGCTGTTGGAAATATTCTTTGTGACCCGCCGCCAACAAGTTTCTGATCCATCCGTATAGAGGAACTGACTGACTGACTTGACGTCGTTTGTATTGAAAATCCGAATCATTTTGTTGTTGATGCAGGCTGAGTTGAGTGACAGCGGAAGATTTCCAGATTGGTTGGTTTCAGGTTGATGAATGTGTTTCTCGCCTTCCCGATTGCCGATTTGACATCCTCGTCCGTCCGTTCCTCGTGTAGTTGAGACAATGCTCCCTCCCTAGATAAGTGAATGAAGTAACCTCTTTCAAATCCCTCCCGTCGATGGTGATTGGCGGTGGATGTTGCTGCTCTTGTTGTTGTTGGTTGGTTGGTTGGTTATTTTCATACTTGGTTAACAAGCATACTATCGCTGGACTGCTGACGCCTTTTGTCTGCTGCCAACCACGAACTCATATTGAAAAGTTCAAAAAATGTTTCAGGTAGTTTTTAGGATTGATATAACATTTCAACATTTCGGTAGTTCAGTAGTTCAGAATGCTAGCCAACCTTGCAGCAAATGATCCCATGGGATTAGATTCCTGATCGATGCACTCTTACTAATCGATAGTAAGCCCAGAAAAGATGGAAGGAAGGTTGGTTAGGCATAAGGCTAATAACTCCATCACGTAAAAAGAGAACAATATCACCATGGTATTCATGGATAATATGCAAACTAAACTTAAACAACAATAATAACTGATACCTGCTGCACAAGCGAGTTTCAGTGGGAATACCATACACATGATAGAGAAGATTTGTAGCTCAGGCAGTTGTGTTCTCTGAGGTGGATAGTTATTTTGCGAAGCTCGGCATTCCAGTGAATCATCAATCAATAGACACATCGAGATTGACAAAATTTATCAACCGATAAGAAAGAAACCTCACACACAAAGGGTCAAAGTTCAAGTCAAAGAAACAATGAGTGACAATAAAAGTAACCTAGAAGGTGTGAAAACACACAAAAACAACCAATCACATCCAAAGTCACCAGGGGAGATGATTAATAAACTCGTGCAGAAATCCAAAATCTCACTTCAAATTGAAGTATGCGCTGAAGATGTCGCCTAGTAGGGCGATGAAAGCTTCGCAGATTAACTATCCAGCTCAGAGAACACAACCACATCAAAATACCATATACATCCAGCTGCCCAGTCTATAAAAGGACAGAACATGAGTCTTGGATTCTACTACTTGCTAGCCACATATAAATTCAAGTTATTTATCCCGGTAAATTACCAAGTCATCCGTCCAACCAGGTCCATATATCTTAGATGAGTGTTTGATCAGTTCAGTCCATATCATACTATTCAATGGGTAGTCATAACAAGTTGGCAGAAGAAGCATCAAAGATAGGAAGGACTTCAGGTGAACATAGAGAAAACAGAGGTGATCAAGATTCCTGGAAAAGAACAACAACAACAATCAGCCAGCATAAATAGGAGGAACCTGAAAGAAACAACCTCTTTTACCCACCCTACCTGTGAAGCATCGTTTCAACTACAGGCACACGGAACTGACGAGGATATCAAAGCAAGAATCGATCGGAAAAGCAAGACAAGCTTTCACTACTCTCAAGTCTGTGTGCAGGAGGTCAACACTCAGCACTCAGCATCAAAAATAGGATCCGGATTTTCAACTCCAATGTGAAGTCAGTCAGTGCTACGGATCAGAGACTTGCACTGCGCGTCATAAAGAGCATCTCAAACAAACTACACACCTTCATCAACAGCCAGTTGTCTTCGCTCAATACCACTCAAGATCAGATGGCCGGCCGGCCAGAAAAGATCAGCAACAGAGACGGATCTCTGGCAATGAGCGAACCAACCAACACAGCAGGAACCAACCGATTGTGAAAGAAATAGGCAGGAAGAAATGGAGATGGACGGATTGGCTGGCCATACTCTGAGGAAACAAGCCATCACGTGAGTGACATCACTAGACAAGCCGTTGGTCGAGTGGAACCCGGCCGAAAGGGAAGCGGCGGCGAGTTGGTCGTCAGTGGAAGGGTGAGGGTGACTTTGAGGAGGTCATGTGAAGAGGAGATCAAAGGGTGTGGGCGAACTCGAAGCCAGGTGAAGACTGTAGCAGAGAACCGAAGGCAATAGAGACGTGGTTGGCTGACGCCCTATGTTACTCTAGGAATTAAAGGAAACAATAAAAATAAATAAGATAATAATAACCTGATCACCGTTTCATAAGAGCTAGAGAAACATTGGAAACCAGAGAGTAGTACTGGACGTTTGTTTCGTCCTGGTTTGAGACTCTTTAGAAACGTGCAACCTTTACCTCATCGAGGTCGGGGACTTAGGACCATGAGGTCATGGGGCGCATTTGTCGACCATTGAACCACTCAGACGGAATCCAATGGTCAGCCCATGAATTCTAACTTCCATCAATTGGAGATGCTCACTAAGAACTGACTGACCACAAGACGAAGTTGTTTGGAGTCCTAGTGAAAAGTCACGACCAGTAGGGTTCAGCATGTCGGCTGACAGTAGCGCCAGAAATCGTAAAGTGACTTGAGTTAGAATTCCTAGGCCATTATGGATCACCTCCCAATGGTTGAATGTTCAAAAGACTCGCTTCATAACCTAAGGTTTAGGTTTCGATTCTCAGCCAAATGGCGTCATGGATGCGCATTGCCGAAGAGTTCCAAAGAAGGACGAAATGGCTGTTCAGTACTTCCTAGTTTTCGATGATTCTCTAACTCATAGATTCTTACAAACTAATACTTGGAAATGATAATAATAATAATAATAATAATGTGTATAGTTTCCCTTATCCTTTGATATATATTTTCTTTCCGAATTTCAGAATATCAGAACATCACATTGAATCCTATCCGAAATCCAGTCCTCATTAGGATTACTATTCATTTGTACATTGCAGTGGAAGAATACCATCTCTTGACATAATCTTTTCTACTACTAGTTGTAGTACTACAAGTGCTACTATCCCCTTTCTACGGATCGCCTTTGCCCCAGACACTGTTCAATAATTTCAACATCCATTGACACATTGAACAGACGAGTAAGAAATTTAAAATCAGGATACCAGAGGAGAAGTAATGCTAATAATTAATGAGTTTATCTAATATATATGAGTCTTCCATGAGAATAGAAACTTCATTTTATCTCACCTTTTTCCCTTCTGTCCCCTGCTTCCTTTTTTTTAACCACCTAAGAATATTTTCTATCTCAAGGCAATTTCATCATCAATTGTAATGTAATGTAATTAAATTATATTAATTCTATGTGATCTTGTTCGATCATAGTATCATCAACTCGCGTATTTCGCGCCCTCTATCAATACACACACATCCATCCCCAGTCCCGCGTTTTCATTCTTTTTTCAGAAACCAATACATACAGACATACATCAGTTTAGGTCAATATTATACACGTCATTTTCCTAACCCCAACCCAACCCAACCGACCCCGTTTTTCGCCTCTGCTTCAGCTCCACCCTTTCTTCATTGTATTCATCAGTTTATGCATAGAAATAGTACTATTATGAAAACACTAGTATTGAACAATTTTACATATTGCTTTTATTTTGAATAAATAAGTAACTGTACACAGGAAAGTATTATTATTATTGTACCTTTTGTTTATTTTTATTGCGTTCAAACTGTTTACTATGCGTTTTTGTTTTTAAAAAAACATTATACCAATTTATGCAAAATTTATTATATATTTATATGCAGATATTATAAGTATAAATGCAGTTCCTCCGAGAACCGGTCTATTTCTCTCTCTCTCTCTATAACCGTTCAGTCGGGAAGTTTCGTGTTATTGTTAACTTTACAAACATGCCCATTAAAATTTTCAAAAGAATAGACACGGAACAAAGAGTACTCTTTTCGATAACGCCGTCATCATCAGGTTCTACAATTATATATACATTATAATGAATGAATGAATTAGTCTTATGAACGACATTAATGCCGTTTAAATAACATCGAATCAATAATATTGATAGATTACAGCTGAACAGCATCAACATAACAATAAACTGAATGTCAGAAGAATAAGTAAAGGTAATAGTACAAATTCATGAGTTTTTAGTTTCTACTGAGGGCTGGCCAGGGCAGTAGTAGGGGCTGGACTTGTTTCTTTTGAACACAGAGCACTAGTTTTTTGAGGCGAATTGCAATAGCCTCTGCTGTTTGGAGCATGTGGTGCTTCGA